CTTAACCATTGCGCCACCAGGGCTCCTCCTGACACATGATAGGCCATTAGATATGGTAGTTATTATTATTTTTATTATATCACTTATTGAATTAGGATGAAGAATTTGTAGGTTCAGAATACCACGTTTATTTTCTAATACATGTGTACTAATTCACTTTGATCCCAGGAAAAATTCAATACAGAATTAGGCAGTCCTTCTGGGAATCCGAATACCTCGCCCTTATATAACAAATGGCTGAGGCTAATTCTGGAAGCTTACCCTCCTACACATGGCACCTTGAGGAAATCTGGGCAGGTACCTTTCTTCCCTTTAGAAGTCTCTGCCTAAGTCCCCACTTCTGTGGATGCAGAAATTCTAGTAGACTGTTAGGATCTGAAAACTCACCTTTGGGTTCTAAGGCTCTCTGAAGAGGATAAAATTTTAGTGCAGTGGTTCCCAACCCCTCTCAGCATGAGAATCGCACCTTAAGGTAAAAAAACTTTCAGGAAATCTCACATAATGATCTACTTTAAGTAGCCTTTAATTGAGAAAATACATGATAAAAATTCAGCAGCAGTAAAAAAAATTGAGGGTCTCCTCTTTGTATACATTTTTTGAATAGGTAGTGCATGTACCTGATACAAAATTCACAAGTTACGAAAGGGAATACCATGCAAACTACCCTCTCACACCGCTGTCCCTCAGTCACCTAGTGCCCTTCCCCAGAGGCAACTATTGCTTTAATTTCTTCTGTGTCCTTTCAGAGATAATCTATGCATTACCAATATTCACATATATAGCCTTTTGTAAAAAGACACAAGGTAGCATATTTTACCACTCTTCTTCATTTTGCTTTTTTTTAACTTAACAATGTCTTGTTAACACTTTAAAATTGATCTGTAAAAAAAGAGAGACTATGTATTTTTATTCATCACAACAGTTTCTGCTATTGAAAAATTGCACTGCATTTTTTAATTTACAGAAAATCCTAGTGTGCAATAACTACGTGCCACTTAGAGATTCTCAGCTCTTAGACTGGGACCTGCCAGTCTAGGTAAAATAGCAATAATAGTTTGTGTTGATGTTGGCTCTTACTCTGCACCAGGCATTGTTCTAAGCAGTTTACACATATTATCTCACATAATTTACATCCTTCTTATCCTTCTAGTCTCTGCTTAAATGTTATCTCCTCAGAGAAGCCTTCCCTTATCCAAGTAGACCTACCCTCTCCCCTTTCCATTATTCTCTATCGTTTCATCCTGTTTATTTCCTTCAGGACACTCATCACTGTAAGTAATTAGTTACCTATTTGTCTACTTGTTTACTGCTGTCTCTCCACCCACAGTATGAGCTTTGAGAGCAGGAACAGTGTCAGTTCACTATAGTATACCCAGAGAACAGTGCCCCAGTGCTTGGCACAGAGCACAGTGCTTGGCACATTCCATTAAATTAATGAACAAAAAACAGCTTTATGAGGTATACCTTCTTATAATCTCCATTACACCGATGAGGAAACTAAGGTCCAGAAAGTGAAATACCCTCCTCTCAAAGTTAGTAAGTTACAAAATTGGTTTGAAACTCAGTTCTGTTTGACTCCAGAGCCCCAGCTCTTCACCATGACTCTGGTCTCAGAAACAGAAGACTGAGTATAGCCCTGGCTCTGTGTGATCTGGAGCAAGTCACTCTTCCTCTCTAGGCCTCGGTTTCTTCAACTGAAAAATGAGAGGGTAAAGTTAGATGATCTTCCCTCTAGCAATGTTCAGTGATTTATGAGATTTGTGGTCTATGAGAGTGAAAAGGGGGAGCAGCGTTGAAGGGTCCAACAAGGTTTGCTTGATGTCTTTAAGGGAACTAATTTTCAGTTCTTTTCTTTCTTCCCTCCTTCCTCCCCTGGAGATTTGCTGATCCTTATTCTATGTCAGGCTCTGTGCAAAGGGATGCAAAGGTAGGAATCCAAAGACTAATAGGACATAAAAAACCTGTCACCACAACTGGATTAAACCAAAAGCTAAGAGGTTTCCTGAATGCATTTGAGGGAAACATTTTGAGAGACAGAGTAGCTGGGGCTGGGGTCTGGCCACCATGGTTTCAGGGGACGTCTAGGTCAATTGGCATAACAAAGTTTATTGCGAAAATGTTTTGCATCCCACTTTGGTGAGTGGCATCTGGGATCTTGAAAGCTTGCTAGCAGCCATCTAAGATGCATCAATTGGTCCCAACCCACTTGGAGCAAAGGAGAATGAAGAACACCAAAGACGCAAGGCAAATAATAGCCCAAGAGACAAAAGGGCCACACAAACCAGAGACTCCATCAGCTTGAGACCAGAAGAACTAGATGGTGCCTGGCTACCACCAATGAATGCCCTGACAGGGAACACAACAGAGAGTCCATGATGGACGGGAGAAAAGTGTGGAGCAGAACTCAAATTCATGTAAAAAGACCAGACTTAATGGTCTGACTGAGACTGGAGGAACCCTGGAAGCCACGACCCCTGGACACTCAGCCCAGAACTAAAACCATTTCCCACGCCCACTCTTCAGACAAAGATTAGACTGAACTATAAAACATAAAATAACACTCGTGAAGAGAGTGCTTCTTAGTTCAAGTAGGTACACGAGACCAAATGGGTGGCTCCTGTCTGAAGGCAGGATGAGAAGGCAGGAAGGGACAGAAGCTGGTTGTATGGACACAGGAAACCCAGGGTGGAAAGGGGGAGTGTGCTGTCACATTGTGGGGACTGCAACTAGTGTCATATAATAATATGTATATAAATTTTTGTATAAGAAATTAACTTGAGCTATAAACTTTCACCTAGAGCACAAAAAACAAAAAAGAAAGAATGTGCTGGAAAGAAAAAGGAAACTTTTTTTTTTTTTTAATCAGACTAAATTTCAATAAAAATTCTTAAGGGGAAAAAAAAAAAGCTGTTGCTATCGAGTCAATTCCAACTCACAGTGATGCTATCGGACAGCAGAACTTCCCCATAGGGTTTCCAAGGCTATAAATCTTTATGGAAGCAGACTGCCACATCTTTCTCCTGCGGAACAGCTTGTGGGTTTGAACTGCCAACCTTTTGGTTAGCAGCTGAAGTTTAACCACTGCACCACCAGGACTCCTCATAAGACGTAGGCTCTGCCATTAAGGTACCTGGTCTTATGGGTGATGCAGATCCACTAATAGCTGCTAGATGAACAGTATGGATCAGTGCCATGATAGTAGCATGTATGAGGCTCATGGTAGCACAGAGGAGGAATGGATTCATTCCATCATGTATGTGTATGGTGGTGGGGATGATGTTGGGTGTGTAGGAAGGGGAGATGAGGTATAATGCTTGTGCTGTGTCTTGGGGGAAAGAACAGTTTTCCAGGTGGACAAGGTAGAGGTGAGACTTTCTGGTCACAAGAGACATCATGTACACAGGCACACCAAGAAACAGCACAATGTACTGAAGATGGCTAGGGTAGGCGGTTGGCTCTCAGGATACGGAACTGACAAGGTAGAGAGGCCCCATGAAGAGCCTTGCATACCATGTTGAAGAGTTTGGACTTTACTCCTGAGAGCAGTGGCATGGCTAAATCATATTTACATTTTATTTTTAGAAAGATCTCTCTGGCTGGTGGTAGGACTGGAGGAGGGAGGTGAGGTTAAAGGTGTGGGATAAGCTAGGAGGCTTTGCCATAGTCCAGCTGAGAGATGAGGAGGACCTGGGCCTGAGACATTTGCAGCAGGGTCAAAGAGGAACTAGGTAAGTTGGAGATTTTTAATACTACAGCCAAAGGACTTGGCGACTGATTGGATAGGGGAGAATAAGATGAGACTAAAGGACTTATTGGAATGAATTAAAACAGTGCCATTAATAATTATAATGAATTTGGAGTTGGGTTATCTCTTACACAGCTAGGAGGAAAGGTCTAGGAGCTTCCTTTCCAGAATAGCAGTTCTCTCCTAAGTCAGACATCCTTGGGCCAGTTTCCTGGGGGGAAAGTGAGGGAGGCACACAGGGATAAAATTCTCAGAGACATCACTGGAATTTCTGAGCTCAACTTACTTCAAGGGTAAAGATTGGGGAATAATAAGTCTCTGGACCTTCATTGGTAGAAGGAAGATGAATCATGGACCTATATTCTAAAAGCAGACACTGGCTCCATTGGAGCAAACGCTACTGCCTCCTGCAAGCACCAGCCTTTTAGAAAGAAACTATTCCCCATGGAGTAGCCTCTGGCCTCTGACAGGCTCTGGCTTTGACTCTTGGGTTGACTCTCAAGAAGTTTCCCCCACCTCCTTTAGGGAGTGGCTTTTTAAGAGAATATAAGATTGTATAGCCCGTAGCCTGGTCCTGCTTCGCTGCTGGAAAGAAAAAAAAACCCGAGTATTGGGGACTGGACCCTCTCCTAACCAGCACCCCTGCTTAGGTGTCCTCAGTTCCAGGAAAGGACTCCATGTCACTCCATCCCTTTCCAAAATGACCTGAGGTTGGAATCTTCCCCCACCTCAAATCGACTCCCCAGCGCTCCCCAAGCGGTGCCGGGGTCGAGCACGTGGACTAGATTAGGGGCAGGCCTCTAGGGTCCTCCCAGGGAAGGGAACGGTCCTGGAGGCAAGAAGCCGTCACTCGGGCTGTAGCAACCTCCCTGGCTTCTACAGCGCGTAGCCAAAGGCTGGGTCACGCCTTGTTTCCCACTCCCACGTTCATAGGATGGTGCCAGGATCTGTTATCTCTACTCTAATCTCTCCTCACGCACGACCACACTGTCATGCCGATAAATTTCCAAGAGCAAAGGGTAGCGCGATTCCTCCCGCGCCCCTGCGGGCCCTGAGGCTGGGCACTAAAGCAGTGCAGTCCCAAGCTTCCACTGCAGAAGCCGCGCTCCTCACTCGGTCCGGGGGTAGAGGGGGCGCGAGAGAGCAAGTGGGCGGGCGTCCCATCCTCCGCATCCTCCTCCCGGTCCTGGAGCGCGGGGTGGGAGCGCTGCGCGGCGCCGCGCTGCGCATCGCGGCCCATTTGCCGCCTGCCCCCTGTCCTAGCTTGGCCACCTCCCCGGCTGCCGGTGGAGGGCTGGTAGGCGCTAACGTTACGCTGTTTCCGGTTTTCCAGCGGGGGTTTTTTTTCCCCTCCCAAGGCGGCGACGGCGGAGCGGCGGAGCGGCGGAGCCCCCCAAATGGCCTGGCCAGATGCGGCAGGTTTGCTGCTCAGCGCTGCCGCCGCCGCCACTGAAGAAGGCTCGGTGCAGCAGCTACAGCGACAGCAGCGGCAGCAGCAGCAGCAGCAGCAGCAGCAGCAGCGAGAGGAGCAGCAGCAGCGAGAGGGGCAGCAGCTGCGAGAGGGGCAGCAGCAGCAACAGCAGCATCTCCCGTCCCGCTGCGCCCCCAGAGCCGCGGCCGTCGCAACAGCCGCAGCCCCGCAGCCCCACAGCCCGGAGAGCCGCCGCCCGCTCGCGAGCCGCAGCCGCCGGCGGCATGAGGCGCGACCCGGCCCCCGGCTTCTCCATGCTGCTCTTCGGTGTGTCGCTCGCCTGCTACTCGCCCAGCCTCAAGTCGGTGCAGGACCAGGCGTACAAGTCACCCGTGGTGGTGGAGGGCAGGGTACAAGGGCTGGCCCCGGCCGGCGGCTCCAGCTCCAACAGCACCCGCGAGCCGCCCGGCTCGGGTCGGGTGGCGCTGGTGAAGGTGCTGGACAAGTGGCCGCTCCGGAGCGGGGGGCTGCAGCGCGAGCAGGTGATCAGCGTGGGTTCCTGTGCGCCGCTGGAAAGGAACCAGCGCTACATCTTTTTCCTGGAGCCCACCGAGCAGCCCTTAGTCTTTAAGACGGCCTTTGCACCCCTCGATACCAACGGCAAAAACCTCAAGAAAGAGGTGGGCAAGATCCTGTGCACTGACTGCGGTGAGTCGCCCCCTCCCTCGGCTAAAGAAAGGGGGGAGGGGCGAGGTGGTGGAGAATGGGGGTGGTGTGGGGAGGTGCTGCAGGTGCCCGGGCCTGGCAGTGGCCGGCCGCTGGGGGGTGGGGCCGCTCCTGGGCAGGGCGCCGGGCACGGATGGGTGAGGGGCTTGGGGTGGGGGAGAAGGAGGATCTGGCTCAAAGTGTGCCAGGGGTGGGGGGCGGGGGGAGGCGCCGGCCTGTGCCAGCAGGGATCTGCGGCTGATGAATGGCATGTGGGGCTGGAAAGCTGCCATCATAGACCAGTAGCGGTAGGAAAAACGGAGAGGTCCAGGCGGTGCTGGCCCGAGGCTCAGTGAGTCAGGAGTGACCCTCGGAGGCCTGGTCATCTTGGCTCGCAGGGCCTGCCTGGCCCAGGCTGGCAGGGTCTGCAGGAGCAGCTGGGCAGACTCCCAGGCTGTGAAGGCCTTCGCTTACAAGTTCTCCTGGGGAATGATCGCCCCTGCCCCCTCCTCCCTCTCCTGGGCTCGCTGCTATGCTCATCGACACCGCTGGCGCAGGCAGAGTTGGACTTTTTCTGCTACTGTTTTCCGTCCTCCATGTGGCTCGGGCTTTTTTCTCCGTGTTGACTGCCTGTTTTAGCTAAGGGGATGGCAGAGCCTCCTCTTAATCTCCAGCGCTAGAGAGCCAACACCGCTTTTGGCTGTTTCCCTGAGCTCTTAACTAGGTCTATTGGTTGTGATGATGAAACAGAGCAACTTACTTCTGCTGAACGCTGTTAAGTTCAGCTCTGACATCTTGCTGGCAGGATGTATCGACTGCATCTCTCATCATCACAGTGTTGTGTACTGCACAGGAATGCAGGTGATTAGAAACAAAACACTCTGAAATCTGTACATCTGTGCAGCTGAGAATGGAGTCTTCCATGACGGAAGTTAAAAGAATGCCCGTTTAAAAGAGGTTTTTCTTCTTGTCCCTGACGTACTTACTTCTCAGTAGGATATTTCAAACTAGCTTGTCCCACACTTGAGTATTTGTGTTAGCTTGTCTTGTGCTTATTCATATTGGGGTTTCATTTTGTCCCAACTAAGGCTGAATTTGTTGCATTTGGTGGGACTCTCTAAACTGTATTATCATTAAATTGTGACAGGTATCCTGGACTCTCATAGAAGTTGGTGTGTTTACCAGTTTACCGACTGATTCTGAGTAGTGTAGACAGGCAGTGACTAGCAAAGAATGTGTAACAGCTCATAGGAAGTTTTGCGGCCCTCATCTTTATAGATCAATGCCTTTGAATTTTGGAAGCTTTCCCTCTTCCATGCCCTTCATGAGGCAAATTTCAGGAGTTTAGTGGTGGGAGCATATCTAGGCATCATGTTAAACGGTGATCACTTTACATTAGTCAGAAGAATCCTGACAGTGCCTTAATTAAGGAGGAAAAGGAACTTTGGGGATAACAGCAATGTCAGCTCTGACATCGTTCCAAGGAATATTGTTGACTGCTGTTTAATGTTAGTTTTTACGCTCAGAAATGTTTTATGATGACAAGTTGAGACCAGATAAGAATTTCTAATTTTTTATTCTGGTGAGTGTTTTCTCTGAGATTCCTTGGGGAGCTGTGGAACTGTATTGTGCAGTGGGAAATAGCTAGTAAAGACATTTATTGAACCTTGCTTGTCCAAGGATGACTTTTGTTTGGTGGGTAGCTCCTGAATATGCACAGTTCACATCTCCACATAATCCCTGGTCTGGTCCACTGAAGACCTGATGGTCATTGTCAGATAGGGACATAGAGTAACTTCTGTGCTTCCCTTGTCCCCCTTACCCCAATAAAATATGCTTTATCATTTATGTCTTGTTAGTTTTCATGAGCATTTAATAGTTGAATGTGGAAATCATGAAAGACCTAGGGGTCAGAAATATAGTCTGCTTTTAGGCTAGGGCCATCTCATATTAGTAAAATAGAATGTGTAGTTTAGCTCTCACAAAGCTAAATTTAGGACTGAAATCACTAGTTAAGAGAAGGCCCTCACATAGCACAAATTACCAAGGGGCAGGGAAGGTGTACAGAAGTAAACGTTTTAGAACGCGAACCATTTTGCTTTGAACTGATAGTATGTAGGTGAGTGTCAGTTTGGGGATTAGAAACTAAAGGCCACATTTGTGAGCAGAGACTTGTAGAATTGGCGCTGGTATGACAGAATATAAACTGCATTTTTAAAATTTTCTACCATGTGGTTAAAGCAAACATGCAACAGTAATGGTATATTAAATAAGGAAACAAAATCATCCTAACTAACCACAACACTTTCCTTGTGCTCAGCGGGAAATAACTAACAAATTCATTTTCTGTTTTCTATCTCTAAAGAAAGCCCTCCGGGCCACAGGGTCACTGGGAACATTTTCTCCTTGGAGCAGATTTTCCCGTTGCAAAATAGGGAAACTGGCACTTGTAAACTGTCATCATGGCGGTTATATTGAGCAACTGAGGTTGAATTGTTACTTTGTTTAGCTGGTTTCAACTCTCCGAGTGCCTGGGTTCCCAGAGGTGTAGCTCCTAGGGATTTTATCTAGAATGCTGTGATTTGGGGGACCAGAACTTTGAGATAATGTACCATATGGAGAGAGAGATTGTGCTTAAAGCTGGCATAGGCCTCAATAGCATGAAAGCAGGGGTCATACTGGACCCCTCCTAGAAGGTTCCCATAAATGGTAATTTCAACTAAACTGTTAAATGTTGACTTGAAGATTGCCATCTAAATTGGGAAGTGGTAGATAGGGCTTTTGCTAGAACAGCAATATCTGCCACAGAGGCATTTTTATAGATCTAATGTGTATTATTCATCCAAAAATACTATCTCTGGTGGTAAAGAGTTGAGTAAAATGTTTGCATTTCTAACAAGAGTGCATACGTTGGGATGTTTTTTGTGCCTTCTGTAGAAAGAAGAGGAAAAAGAGTTAGAAAGGTCTTAAAGAGATTAGCAATTCTGCACAGTGCTATGAAAGCATCTTGTTCTGCAAATAGTCCTACATTTTTAAAGAAGGTTGCATATATTTTGGTATAATTACTCCCTATCTTGCTGCTTTCCTGTATATGTACATGTTTTTAAGTTGTTTCTTTATTGAATAGATGCAGTAGACAGCATAAAAAAAAAGAAAGATCACATCTTCCTTTGGAACTTTCTGATTTTAGTTTTCCAGTGTATAGTATACTTTTTTGTTTAAATGGAAAAGGTGTTTTGGGGGGACTTTACACTCTTTAGGATAGTTTTTAATCAATTTGGCACCTAGATTCATATATTAGAGGAAGGTGGTTCACAAAAAACAGTATGGCAAAGCGACTGCATATTTTTGAAATGCTGTTTATTTAAAGAATATTTTCTTCCCCAGCCAGCTGGAAACCCAGCTGTGCTACAGCTTGAAGACAGGAAAGTGAAACTAGATTAGAAACTGACCAGCCCTAGTAGGGGGGACAGGCTGGGTTATAGATTTAGGGGTTGAGTTACCATCATAGTGTCATTGTTTCATTTAGGGATTGCTTCCCTCAGCAGATTGTGGGGACGGACATGCACCGTATCTTACCTTTAAAGTCTTCTTTCTCCTACCTCCCCTGCCCCTAGGGTTTAGTCTTGTGCCTGGCTTACAGAAGATGTCTCCATAAGTATCTTTTGAATGGAAGTCAAGTGAAGGTAAAAAAGAAAGCCTCCAGATTAATACTAAAACAGTCTTAACTCTCTGATCTGTGACATCAAGTCCTATTCTGAAAAACTGAGTTTGATGATAGCCTTTACCTGTCGCTATGGGAACCTTTTTTCCAAAGGAGTCTGTTATCAGTTAGAGTACTTAACCACAATGTGCTTAATCATTGTGCTGATTAATGTTAATGGGATTTGAGCGGTGGATAAGAAAGGTCTTGCTCCAGAAGACCACCCCCCACCTTTTTTTAAGCGTAGATTACTGCTCCCTCCCCCCATGTTTAAACAAAAATAAAATAACTATCAGTTTGAATTAACAAATAGTTTGGAAACTAGAGAGGGTGATATATTAACTTCCTCCTGGTCTCCAGGCAATGCAAGCGTGCTTCCTCTTTACTATCCTCTATCATCTAGGGCATTTTAATTTTATTTCTTAATAGCAAGTACATCAAGTTAACTTTTTTATAAAATTGTGCTTATATTTTTGAATCTGTAACACATTTATATGGCTCAAGATTCAGAAAATACATGAGGATAAACCAAACCAAACCCGTTGCCATCGAGTGGATTCTAACTCATAGCGACCCTATGGACAGAGTAGAACTGCCCTCTAGGGTTTCCAAGGAGTGGCTGGTGGATTCAAACTGCCAACCTTTTGGTTAGCAGCCGAGCTCTTAACCACTGCGCCACCGGGGCTCCTACATAAGGATATATGGTAAAAATTCTCCCTCTCACCCCTGTCTTCAGCTACCCAGCTCTAAGGCAATTGTAAAATAAAATATTTTTGAATGTCTTTTCCTAGAAGCAAAATGTTTTTCAGAATAGTCTTATCTTTTTCTTTTAACAGATTAAAAAAAGCTATTTCTGCCATTAAGCCAATTTTATGGTAAATTCTTACCCAGGTAATACATGTTTTTTTTAAACCTAGCCCAAGATTTTAACCACCTAGTTCCTATTATCACTGAGTCCTTTTCTATCTGAAGTATCTAGCGAAAGGGGCCTCTTTTCCCTGTAACCAGTACACTGGCCTACAAGTATAACCCTAGGGTCAGGAATAAAGATTCCAACTTATTTTTCAGATACTTTGCCATTAAGAAGATTTTCTGTGGCAATGCATTTTGTGAGTGAGTCTTAATAGGGATGCTTAAAGGAGAGATCCAAAGGTTTGTCACTGAGCTTCTGGGCTGCAGCTCTAGGGCCCATATAACGGTTCTTACTGTTTCACACTCTTGGTAATCTCACAGTAGCCTCCAAGTGGGAAATCACATGAGTCCATACATGGAGAGAGAAAACTCCACAGTACATGGTTGC